GAGGTGGTTTCATGCTCCTCAAAACCTCCTGATCAAAGGCCTTGCTGTCGGGTGTAGTTTATCGTCTTACCCAGGATGCGGATGTAGTTTATCGTCATACCGAGTGCAGCCAGTAAGTTGTACAGTATACACGTTAATATTTTTGTCTCCCCGAATTTCTGGAATAATAAGTTATCATTATTTACATTATTTATATTCGGAATATTGTTCTTATATTTGTTGTTGTTATCAAAACATTTCGGCCTTCGTTCCCTCTGGCCTTCCTCAGGGGTATATAAATCTAGGGGGGGATTCTGGACTGAACCCTTTATTTAATATAGGGGGTAAACTCTTCTCATTCCATTGCCCATGTTTAGGCTATCGTCTAGTTCTTATTTTTAGTACTGATCAGTTATTGCTAGCCTGATTCCACTAAATCCCTGTACAAACTACCTGACCCAGTGATTGAACTCAAAATCACGGAGTCATCACATTAACGAACCAACGCTTTAATCCACTAGACGGTATCCCTAGAAATAGCCAGTGGCACGAAAACAGTCTTTCCCTGTAGATTAATAAAGGTTCCATTCAGAATTCACTGGAAATCAATATACACCTGATGATGGCCGGTGGGCACATCGCCCGAAACGTTGTGATAACAACAAGTATGATGAGGGCAATAGTTTCAATATAAGTAACGTTAAATATATTTGTTTTTATCTGTATCTTACAATTACTGTTTTAACATCTCTCTGGATGTGTAACACTCAACGAAGAGAAAAAAGAAAATAATAATAAATAACGTATTGTACGCACAAAGCGGTCCTCAGTCTCGATTCGTCTTAAAATGGCGGTAACTCGATACTCTTTAAAGACTCGTTTATGAGTGCAAGTTACGATTCGGGCAGATTGCTTTGACAGTCGCCTTGGACACAAGCCGGCTACCTTTTTGCAACCGGTATATCTTAAGTCTGTTTGAAACCAGATCGTGTTCATAATGAATGGAAGCCTCCTCACTTTCTGTAATAGAAACCTTAGATCTACTCCGCACCCACCTGACCAAATCTGTGGGAAAGACAGTACCATGGGGGCTTCGTTCCGCTGAGGTTTTTTTTTTATTGCTTTTGGCAATGTAATACGAAACAAAAGTTGAGTGCACATGTATCATGTATTGGCAATAACCGTATTTCTCGGTTTGCCTTCTTAAGGGAAAGAGGACTGTGTCAGTTTGTAGTAGTATACTGTCTGTAGAACGAGACGAAAGAAAACGTTTCTGTCACGACGGAAAGTGACGGAAAGTGACGGAATGTGACGGAAACAGTACAGATTGAACAACGTTATTTCAATGCACTTGCTTTAGTCTGTTCGCTAAAAGCCAAATATTAAGAAGAGTTAGAAATGGTAGGAAAATTTGGAGAGACATCATCACCCACATGCTGAAGGGACACGATACATTTTCTTGATAGAACATATAAGAGCCGTATTCTTAGTTTTGGAATATAGAATAAGACTTGCCAAGTAGTCACGAGGATCATGTTTTTTTTAAATCGAATTCAAGCAAGTAACTAAATCCATTAGGACACAGGGTTTATTGGGTGTGAAAGAATTAGAAAAGCGAAGTATCACCAAGGATTGCAAATAATGGAACAGTAGACAAATATTTGCCTTACATTTAAATTTTTGAAGATCAAAGGTAACTAGAAAGCATAGAAATGAAAGAGAGTCCCGTAAGCGAAAGCTATGAGAAAATTAATTGTTAATATAGACCTTACTGCTGTATCTAGCCACTTCAATTGTAAATTGATGAGAAGTTGTTGCCAATCTAGTACTGTGCTTAATTTCATAAAGTCTAGGAACCGTAGCGAAAAGCTCCATTATGAAAGTAATTATAGAACAGGCACAGGGAAGCAACTTTACGATTATGAGAACATCACTGAAATTGAGACGCCAGGTCAGGACTAATAATATTGCTGATTCTTCTTTGGATTTATCAAGAATCTCTAAATATACAACAGGAGCAACGGACCAAATGTGGCAGCAATATTCAAAGCTGAAACAAATGGTAGACTTAGAAAAATGCAATATAGCTAAATAAGTTTTAGTACCCTGGGTACCTTATTTTTTTGTAGATACCGTAGATACTCGTGAGAACCCTGAAATATTTTGTAAAGACCTTTTTTTTTAGCCCTAGTATTATATAACCCCAGCTTCAAAAATTATAAGCCTATTGTAATCAAATATTGAAGTTCTGGACATATTTTATAGCAAATAAATTGTCTTCATTATTTTTTTGGACAAATCTACCCCAAAATGATGAGAAAAGCCACTTACTGTGAATTATCTGATACGAAGATTTAGATAATATACTTTCGTTTTCGTTATGTAACGGAAATTTCGTTATGTAACGGAAATCATGAACGAATGGTGGACATGTAAGAAAAATCTTCTAGCAGGTCACAGTGAACTAATTTTCTTAGCAGCTGACCTGGCAATGAATTCAATATAGTCTTTCCACTTCATGTCAACAAAATAACAACAAATTAATATTTCATAATGCTGTGTAAGTAATTATATACCTTACGAAAAATACAATTGCCTGCTGTCGACGTATAAATAGGTTTTGAAGACAGCATTGAATAGCGTTTGTGCTATAAACTAACTAGCGATTAGTACATTATTTACATTATTCGGACTATTGTCCTCATCTTTGTCGCCATATTTATCACAACGTTTCGGCCGATATACGCTCCGGCCTTCTTCAGGTGGTTGGAATGTCGAACTGAACCCTTTATTTCGCCCACTGGGGTAGACTGTTCTAGTTCCACGTGCCATGTTTGATGGATGTCAGTTATCTGTTATCTCCTGTTAATTTTCCCTCTGAAAGTTCTCCACTGCCTTAACCAGGTATTGAACTCACACTACTGAGCCGACCAAGCATAGAACTAAATACAATATAGGAACCAGTAATAAGGAGTGCCAGAGAAAAGCAATGATAAGAACAAAAAGTTGCAATATGAGCTCTGGTAAAAACATGGATTGATAACAACAAAATTGCAATATGAGCACTGGTAAAAATGGTTGCTGAAGACATTAGGTTTATAATACCCAGAAATTCATACCCAGATGTCCTCAAGGACACATGGCACAGTAGATAAAGGCGTTGGTTAGATTCAGTGACAGGACCCAAAGAGTGTGAGTTCAATACCCGGTTAAGTGGAGAACTTTCAGAGGGAAATTAGCAGGAGATAACTGACATCCATCAAAACATGGCACATGGAACTAGAACAGTCTACCCCAGTGTGCGAAATAAAGGTTTCAGTTCGACATTCCAACCACCTGAAGAAGGCCGGAGCGTACAACGGCCGAAACGTTGTGATAAATATGTTGACAAAGATGAGGACAATAGTCCGAATAATGTAAATAATGCACATAATACCTCATCTCGGAAATATAGACAGACTCTAGTGATTAGTACTGTTTTAAAACCAGGGTTGACATACAGCAGCATAAAATATGAATCATTGTATGGCGTAATTGTATTACCCTGTATGGTGAAGGTGCCGTTTAGCGTAGTCAGTACCACAGAGCACCCGATCGTAACCCAGATATCGGGACTCGTGAGAAATTTACGTTTCCGTCTTTATAGTCATTTATAATAAGTAAAGAGAAATTCCACATTATTATTCTTCCAAAAGGGATCGGAACAACGATCCAACAATTTCATAACAAGGCAGCAGTGAAAACATTAATAGTAAGCCCTCAACGTCAAGAAGACGTCTATAATATATTTTCCAAGTCTGAAGTCAAAACAATTTAAACTTTTGTTATAGGTTTAAGTTCTTATATAATAAATATTTTCATGAATTCAGGGCTGACAAAAGAGACATGAAATATCTGATATCTATAGCTGGATGCCAAAAAAGACTCTCACACAAGGACAGGCCCTTCAAATTGGACCATATAATAAGCTTATGGAACTTACTAAGGTATTTTGAACTTATGTGAATTGTAATACTTTTCTATTGCTGGTATTTTCTTTTATCTCTATTTGCGCATTTTCAGGATTTAAAACGTAAATTCTATCTTTCGATTATGACAAATCGAAGATTTTACCTATAAAATTTTATCTATTGTCGTATGTAAGATAGAATTCTACGTTTTAAATCCTTAAAATGCCCAATTAGAGATAATAGAAAATACCAGCAATACAAAAGTATTCCCAACCTTATTTTCGCTACTTAATAATAAGATATTGAGTTGCCATAGTATCACGGATAATGTTCACTCATTGGCTTCAAGCAAATAGCCTGTTAACATAGTAAAGCGTTCACTTTTTACTAAGTCAGGCTGTGTGATGAAAAATTCTGCTTTATATTACAGAATAGATTTTATAATATAGGCATTTCCCTGTGCATTTTATAAAAATAATTTCATGGCGATTGTGCTGATAATCTTTATGCTTTGGTATCTCAACTTTACGAATTTAAAGACAATACTTGTTTTTCGGTAAATTCTCATCATTTTACAGTTGAAATGGTTTCTTCTCTCGAACTAATCGCTTGTGGAATCCTCATCCGTGTTCACGTTTTCCAGTCAATTTTGATCTTCAAATAATTAAATGCAGTCGTTAACTTTTGTACTTTTTAATTCCTGTTCTTTTAATATTTTCTTTGCTTGATAATGCTTTGTTTTTGCTTTTTTTCATATTCTTTCACACTCAGTAACCCCCTTGCTGCTTAGTGGCTTTATTCCCTTGCTTGAGGTGAAATTATTTAAAATATAGGTTATAGATAAAATCAGTTTCTTGACAATGGTCAATATTCATACCAGGTAAAATTCATGGATGTTTTATTTATACCAATGTTCACCGAATTAAAAAGCCCAAGAGCCACTCAGAGTAGAGTATTATTAAATGAGGTCGTTGTGTGGACATAAGAGTAGGAACTAAGAGTAGATTATAGGGATATGTAGAATAAATAAGTGTTGACTTTCGAATTGATAATTTTAAGATTGTAGCAGGCTTACGACCATATCACATTGAATCGACGGTTCCCAAACGATCACCGAGGTTAAGCAATGTCTAGCCTGGTCAGTGCCTAGATGGGTGACCGTTTGAGAATACTAAGTGCGGTAAGCTTGGATGTGCGGGTGGTGTAATGTGTAATGGCTCGCAATTGTTAATTAGAGAGCAGATTTCCAATTCCCGCAAATGACCTTACACGCAAATACCCTTGGGAAAACAATGAAGCCACCTCTTCTCCCCCAGAGCTATGGGTTAATTTTCAAAACTTGTATTATTTGACCCTTGTTATCTTCAACAGCAGGAAAAAGGAACATTCTTATTATCTAAAAAATATTTTCTGGCTTTAAATAACGTGCTAAAACAAAGACGAATCAATGTATAGATATGTAGCTTTCTGGGAAATATCCCCTCAGTTACACAAAATAGACCTTCTCCCGAAGAAGCCCTCTGAGTGGATCTTCCTTTTTACCACTGGAATACGAAAGGAAAGCGGGTGATTGGATACTGTATCGAAGGCATGGCATGTCTTAGCTGAAAATGTTAGGCGCCACTCTGAACATTTGACACAAGAATAGCGATAAGGGTACGACGTTTCGTCTGCTGGAAATTGGTTGTAGAGTATAAAACAAGTCATTAAAATTCAAAAGATTGCCCATCATTTACTGTCATTTTGTACGATTAATGTGGCATTGCAATTCAGTCATCTTTTTTTTCCGTTTTTAATCAAAACCGCTCTCATTTACCCCTCCCCCTCATCAGCATGGCTGATGCTTGACTCCATGAGAGTGACTCACTGCGCCTTCTCGCGTTTTCTAATCACTTGAGGTTGAACAACTACAATCAATCAATCGCTGCATCTTCTGCAAGGAAAGTTGGTTCATTGTGTCATACCATAAGTTTTTTTTCTTGTCAGAGTCCATTTTACACATCTACAAATCTACCATTCGTCCATGCATTGATTATTGTTGCCATATCTTGTCTGGTGCCTCTCCTGTTCATCTCGAGGCTCTCGACAAAATCCACCGCTTTATGGGTGGTAAAGAAAAATTTCGTAATGCCAAGCCACCGGTTGATCAGTGGTAAAGAAAAATGACTTAATGTCAAGCCACCGTTTGAACAGTTGTTAAACACTTGTAACTATTTTTATATCTACCGTGAAAGATTACATTTAAATTATTTGCGTATTTTGACTTAGGAGTTCAGGCAGAAGGGTTAAAATTGTTCCGGAACGAAGGGCACAAAGGGTTAAAATCCAACCTATTGGGCGGCATTTAAGCTAGTTCCTGCGGAGGGGTCGTGATTGGGTCTCCGGCTTTTTCAAGAGTTTGAGAGTCCCTAAACCTTTACATATTTTCAGCATTGGAAGCTCTGCTGGCTGCCGATTGATATGGGTTCCATTTTCACGGGACTTCCTTTTTCTTGCTGCAGCCTGGGCTCTTGTGATTGCAATCTGGTCTTCTGTTGGCGGAGATTTCTTTTTGCGAGGCATACTGATGCCATATGCGATAGGCAAGAATTAACTACAGAAGATCTCAAAATTGATCACTACATTTAAGTATTGCATTAATATTTAAGCTCACCTTTTAAAAGTTCAATGATAATTCTTCTGTCGCCACTTAATCTAAAGACAATTTGATGTATGTAGGTCCTTACTTTTCGTATAAACAATTATTTTTATTTCATCAGTGACTTTCGCTAGATTCCGTAATTAAATTTAATTATTTCTAAATTTATTTCCAAATTATAAAAATTTTTATAGTACAAAATATTCTTCGCGAAAAGTCAGGTTACAAAATCAACGGAAACAATCGCAGTTATAAAAACTTGGGAATTCAAAATTTCTGCAACATGAGCTATGTAAAGTTAGAGAGTTGTATCCCTTTAATTGAAAAAGTTTGTCACAGTGACACGCTGATATTGGCATTTATTATATAGAAGATGAGCTATTGAGAGTTGTGTCCCTTTAACTGAAAAATGTGTGACACAGTGACACACTGACATTTATTATATAGATATATCAAAACGATTTTGTTGTAGGGATTCTTGGTCGCGCCGAAAAAATTTTCAGCACCTTGTTGTGTTTTTTTTTTCCAGTGTGATATTTTGGTGCCACTATTTTCCTTATGAAAATATTTTGAATATATTTTGTATAATTTTTCTTATCTTTCCTTCACTCTAATTTTATATGTTTGTTCGGTCTCTAATGTTTCGATCTACTCGCCGGCCACATTTATCGTGCGCATCTCCCAAACGCTTTCCCAATCTCACGTCTTTCGTTTTCATTAGCTTCTTCGTTCTCGGACCTGTACAGCGCCCAAATAGACTCCATTAGACCGTCAAGTACTCACAGGTGAAATATCAGCTGCAGACAAAGAAAACGAGGCACAGCTAAATCCTTTTGCCTTTAACGCATGCGCTCAATCTCGCTTTACTTCAGAGCTTCACAGATACGTTCCCGCCCTCGCATCCCAGCTACGTTCCTGGCTTTCCTTAAAACG